GGGTAGGTGCCAGCTCAGAATTGATGCCAATTCACGGGCGGGTATGGGTGTACAGAGTGTGGGTTTTTGACCTCTTGAATGTTTATAGCTCTGTAATGAAAATCAGAAATCTGTATTGGGCCTGTCTGTACTTCTTCGTAATGAAAAATCAGAAATTTGGGTTGAAACATCTCGGCATTATTATTTTTGGATAAATTAAAAAGGTCCCTTAACAAATAACTCCTAAACTTGTTCCGTGGGCGCTTAGGGTGTTTCTCAAATAAGCAAGGTTACTTTAAATGTATATTGTTTTTGTTGTTTGGTTGGATGTTACAAATAAAGTAAAACCCCATAAAGTTATTTCCACCTCAGCTAACAATGCTCTAATAAAGCATTTCGTTTGAATAAAGGTTAGGGCTTTGGGAAGAAACCCGAATTTGAAGTTTCCTCCAAGACCTTATGCACATAAATACAAGTATTTCTATTTTTTAATGTTTATTTGATAAATGTTGAAATCAAACATTGGTTTCATGCACAATAAACACCGATGCTAAATGGCATTGATGTGGTGGCATTTTTTCAAACAAACGCCCACAGAACCAAACATAATCCAAGTCAGATGGCATAATGCATTAAAGTACCAAAACGTTTGCTAAACTTTCTTTATTTTCTTTTCCTCACTCTTTTATCTTAAATCCTAATTGACCAAATATACCTCCATTTTATCCAAACAAAACCATCTAAAGTAAGGGCCTATTCGTTTGCTTTGAAGCCTGACATCTGAAAGTGTAATAATTACATTAACAGGTATATTGGTATTAGTGAACTTTTCTTTCCTCTGAACTTTGAATGTAGATAATGTTGTTCTGAATTATGAATTATGAAAAATGTCAAATGTCCAATTTAACCCCATATAAGAGAATTTTTATTTATCTATATAATTCAATAAATAAACAATATTAAAAAATATTATAATAAATATTACCTAATATTAATTGTTAATAATTAGTAATATTAATTAATTAATAATAATAATAATCATTAAAAATAATAATTAATTAATAATTATTATTTATTATTAACGATTAATTAACTATTATTATTAATAATTGATTAATTAATTATTTATTACTTAATTATGAATTACTATTATTAATTAATTAATGAAATATTATTAATAATTAACAATTAATTAGTAATTAATACTTAATATTAATAATTTATTTATTAATTAATAATTAATAATTTTTATGATTAAATAATACATATTATTAATAATTCATTAACTATTATTAATAATAATTGATTGATTAATTAATAATAATAATAATAACAATTACTATTATTATTATTAGTGAATAACTATTATAAATAATTAAGTAGTAATTAATAATTAAAGAAACTATATGATGATAATTAATATTTTAATTAATTAATTTCTATTAGAATATTACTATAATATATTATAATGAATATTATAATATTAATCGTTAATTTATAATGTTTGTAATATTATAATATTAGTATTATGAATATTATATTAATAGTATATCAATAATAATAATAATAATAACAATAATAATAGTAATTTCTTATTATTACTATTCATAATTTATAATACTATTTAATATAAATAATTCTTGGTTTCATTATAATATTATAATTGGTAAATAATATTATAAATAATTAGCTATAATAATTAATATGAGTAATTATTAATAACACTATAAGACGATAATGAATAATATAAATAATGAACTATTACTTACGTTATAATAATATTATGGGGGAAATAAAAGATTGGTGGTGGGTCCCATGGGTCTTCATATGAGATGTTATAAGTTAATTGAGCATTAGAGGGGCAATATGGGTAAAATCCATTAAAATAATGACATGATTCATTTGTACTTGAGCTATCATTAGGCTTCAGTGTTAAGAGCCACCGAACACCTCTTTAGCGCTGAAAGTGGTACGAAACCACTTCAGCGTTAAGAGATCAGAGGCACCGAACAGGGCCTAAGAGGAATCATTTCATTAGTATAGAAAAAAGTTTTATTTTTAAATTATTGATTCATTTCACTCATATGAATGCCTCTCTTCATGTTCAAATATAAAAATTACCCACTCCTTTTTCCAATAAATCAAGAAAAAACAAATGAAACCATAAATTTATATCTATCAAAAAGAAATCTTTACCATTTCATTTGAATATTGAATATAGCTTGAAATTTGCAAGGATCTATTGGAGAAACCGAGATGGCTTCAATGTTACATTTAAAAAACTAGTCAAATCATAAATCATTTAAATAAATAAGAAAGGGTAGTTTAGAGATTTAAGAAAAAAATTAAACAGTTGAATGATAATCTTTTTTGAAGTTAACTAACATAACTCTAATGGATAGGAATGGAAATTTCTACCTTACATGGTGGGTACCCAACCCTACTATCCCCGACGGGGTGTTTTCTTTTCTTTTACTTGAAGAATGGATTTTGGGGTAGGGATGGGTTTCGGGATTCCCCAACTCATACGGTACAAGTAAGGTACAATAGGCTAAATCTGACCCTCCCCGACCGGCATATTGTTGGAAAGCATATAATTTTTTTTTGTACTAGGTCTTGAATTTGGTAATATTTTAAATTTTACAAGAAGAATAATTGATAGTTTATGTGTTTTTCTATGCCTTAATCAAATAATTGAAAAACTTTATTTATTTGTATTATTTTACTTATTTATTACTTATATATGACAAGAAATAATAGAAAATTATATGCGGGTTCTAAACCCAACCCGCTCCTACCCTTGAATGTGGGGAGGGTAGGGTCAAGGAGGGTTTTGCATTTTTCATGTGCGGAAAGGATTTGGATTCTCAAAATCTAACCTACTATGGGTTTTGGGGAAAGTACGGGTTGAAGGGTTTAGAGAGGTAGGTAGGGTCTAGAATTTACAAAAACACTCCTTGAACCCACCCTTTTGCCATCCCTACTAACAAAGGGAGTATTTGTGGCAAAATGAAAGTTAAGGGAATTTTTGTCACAAACGAAAGCTCAAAGTGGTATTTGCCATTTACCATTTAACCCATGGTAGTAGGGGGTCTTTGTAATTTACCCTTCTTTTTTTTTTGGTTTATTTGCCCTTTAAGTTTATATATTACAAAAACACCATTGTAATTTGTGACAACTTTACTTGATCCTACCGTTAAGGAACCGTTTCTATACTCACAGCTTGGTAGGGGTGTTTATTATATGGTCTAGACTGTCAAATTGCATAAAACAATTTGAAATCGACAGTTAGTTCTAATATGGCCTTAAAATGGTTTATTTTGTATGAGAATTCCTCATACTATAATATTTTGATTTGGCCTAGTTTTCTATATTAAAATGTAAATTATCAATAATATAAAAAATTAGACAAAACCATAAACCAAATTATTAATAACATATTTATTAATGTATATAATATGTGTAAGGTAACTTTTAAAGATATGTATGTACATATGTATATTCTTATATATTCATTTAACACATCATACATTGTTGTTGTTTGTTTAAATTTTTAAATTGTAATTTGATGCCAAGTAATTGTTTATGTTTGAGAAAGTGTGAATATAATTTATTTGGTAGTAATATCTAGCACTTGTTAAACGTTTCAATTTGATATTTATGTAGGTATGCATGTTATCTAATATTTCTAATTAGGTTAAACTCATTTTACAAAAAAAAATGATAATTAGGTTAAGCCCAATAACATATTCAAAACTTAGGGCTCAAATCTGCTACCCACGAGCTGTTCCCAAATCTCTACCCACGAGACATTACAGCTACRCAATAGGAATATTTCCCTTATCATTCATGAGGAGATGTTCCCAATGCACACGGTAGTGGTGTTCTATGGGTAGGTATGTGGGAACAACTTGTGGGGTAGCATATCTTGAGTACAAAACTTATTAGAAACCAAACCAACAATTGCAGTTTGGTCCGATTTGGTTTAATATGAAAACTTCTCAAATCATAATTTAATAGTTTAGTTTGAAATCTCCTCCAAACTGAATCAAATTGAATTGTGAACACTCGTAAATGCAGGTACATAGTATTGTCAATCCACTGTTGATCTGATTGGCTAAACTGTTTGAATTATTAATTGGCTATGATTTTGGGTTCGATTGGAATTTGTTAAAAAAATAGAACTGCTATGGGCTCCGGTTTTCATGTCAACGATTCGACTATCCAAATCAAAAGGTTCAGGCGGTTTGGATCATTAGGGCAACTTTTAGACTTTTATCAATATGAGAAAAGAAAGACTATGTAATTGTCGGTTGAGAAAGAAAGAAAGAAAGAAGGAAAGAAAGAAAGAAATGAAGGAGAGAAAAGGAAAAAAAAAACGAAAGAAAGGGAGAAAGAAAGGAGGGAAGAAGGAGGAGGAGGAGGAGGATTTGATGTTCATTGGCCGATGATGACAATGGTGACGATATCAACAATAGTTGCAGTTCTCAAATTTGAGATCTGAGAACTGAGATCTGATTTCTCTCCAACATCTACAAAAGTGCAAATCTTGTTTTTTCCTCCTCTTCTTCTTCTTATCTCTTTGCTGGCTCTATTGTCTCTAGGATCTAGTGATCTCAGATCTGAGACCGGTCTTGTCTCGGTTCCTCTCCTCTCTTATCTCCTTTGCATCCTTTATTAAACTGCGAACCATTGTCCGGGTCAACGGTTCAATCGCCCGACAGCAATTCTCTGACAAAATCAATGGTTTTTGGCCCAAAAATGRATTAAGGGTGAAACAAAACTGATTGCCTGAACAATTTTCAGGTCAAACGGTCTCACGATCAGAATCAACAACAGTTCGAGAACAATGATATACAAAATACTGTCATTACACGGTTTTTATACAAATGGGAAAGTGACAAACAAAGCATAACTAACGAGGCAGAAGCCTGGCATCCGAGTCTAAAAAAGAGATATATGAAAGCCAAGGGGAAGGAATGAACCAGCTCTTCATTGTTATTTTTGCAAGCCAATAAGCAGCAACATTTCCTTCACGAAAAGTAATGATTGCATTACACTATGGGGGTGTTATGCAAAGGTAAGTCTAGTAAATTCGGCAAACTATATGGATCTCATAATAATAACCCTTTCTAAAAGCCCTACTGATCTTTGTATAGTGTCGATGCGATTGTTTTCTCTGATTGTGTCAGTAAGTCAGTTGACTGTGGTGGTAGCCCGTAGGCCGGAGCCCAGCGCGCTGGTATTAATTTACGCCGTATTAGAGAAATGACGTGTAGTTCAGTGGCTTTTGCACCTGCCGGAGCGCCACCGATGACCTACGGAAACTCAAGGGCTTTAAGGGTTTCGGCAGACGGGTTCCCATCGTTTCTTCCCAAAGAGGTCGAGAAGATCAAAGACCCATTTGCCCGGAAGCTCGCCAAAAGGATTGAGAGGGTGCCCGTACAGGTATGCTCTTCTTCTTCTTCTTCTTCTTCTTCTTCTTTATAATCGTCATCATCTGTTATTGCTTATAGTTTTGTTGTTTTTGTTCTTCTTCGATTAATGGAAACAGCGAGCGTTAATTTCTTCAATATTTTGCGGGTGGTTAAATGGTTGCTAGCTTCTTTCTTTGAAATGCCCTTTTCTTGATAGTTGTAACTGCAAATTCCTCATCTTTAAATCCAAATATTCCCTTTTTTCCAAGTCCGATTGACAGTTTTTCCGGTTAAGAAACCTAGTTTTCTGTGGTATTTCCGATCTTCAAGTGAAGGCGAATTCGTGGTCTCGTTTTCCCCGTAATAAAGAAGAGAGATGTTAACGTTACAAACTCCAGTGAAAGCGTCATTTGCAAAATTTTCTAGCATTACCGTGAGTGTGATTAGACCGGGAGAGCAGGGAAGAGTACCTGATGACGTCCAACATTATAGATTCCATAAGCTCCGCCGTGTTGGTGCGGAGAATTTCAATGCTATCGAGCTAGACGATGCAATGGGGCAGGCAAAGCGCTCTTGGGGAAGCTGGAGAGAGCAGGAAGGAGTGAATACGTCGGATGGGAGGGGCTTGGTCAGTTCGATGTACTCGTCCGATATGCTCTGAAGAAGAGATGGATGCATGAACTTAAAGTAATGGTCCAGGAGGGAAGAGTACAATGCACAGGTAAAGGAGAGATGGAGAGAGAAGAAAACAAGCGACTGAATTAGAGAATGATATTGCATTTTTCTGGGATTCTCTGTATTGGTTCTTGCCTGGTTGATGAAATTATGGACTGACGATGGATAAGAAATCTAATGGAGTTTCAGATTTTGAAGTTGAGCGAATTTGGTTGTATATATCACACATTAATGATTCAACCCAGTAGCGGCTAATAAGACTAAAAGAGGGGAAATGGTTGCTGCCGGAGAAAGTTCTCCCATAACCATCATCCATTAGATTTTTCTTTTTTTTTTTCGTTTTTTAGTATCCGGATCAAACCGGATGGATAAAAGTTAACGGTAAACGTCCGTTATGTTGAAATTAGTTTAAAAGAGTTGACGTACATACCTCTAATTGGAAGGTCTTGTAATACGGGTCTGTGACAAAGACCCTTTCACTTTTTCTGTTTTTGTGATAAATACCTCTTAAACTTTGGCCATTAGATAAAGACTCCTTTCGTTAATGTTTTCTAAATGTCTAAACTGCAACCGGATCACCTGCCAACGAAACACGTTGCAATCCTCAACCAACATGATCTTATAATGCACATCTCATATATAGCGGTCCCACCCAATTTGATAGTGAGATGTGCGGTGTTAGATCTAGTTAGTAAAGGGTTGGAACGTGTTTGATTGGTAGAAGATCTCAACTCGACTAAACTACTTTTTTTTTTTTTTTAATTTATGAAATCATTTTTAAGACTTTATACTGTTCATACTTGAGTTGAGTGTTTGCCTGAGACCGAACTGACGACGCTGGTTGACTCGGTTGCAGGGAATGGGGTTAGAATTTAGAAGAATAACAGAGGAAAGGAGGGAAGAAGAGAGTGGGAGGTATTTAAAAATGGGAGAAGAGAGAGGAAGGAGAATGAAAGAGAGAAGAGAGATAGAGAGGGAGCAGGTGATGTCGTCGCCGCCGCAACTACTAGCAGCGGCGGCGATCAAGCTTTCCGATGAAGGCCACCTGCGCCTCGATATCGTCGTGATTTCTACGTTCAAAAGGCATTAGTCCGGTTGATCTCGGCCTTAGAAATCTCTCGAAGATGGCCATAACGAGAAACATGGGAGTTAGGGAATAAGAATCCCAGTTGCAACAAATCCAAAAGAAACAGCATTAATATAGTTATCAAAATTTTCCAAGTGCTCCTCTCTCTGCACATTCAGTGGAGCTCCAGAAGGTTGCATACCCCAGCTATCTTCGTCCATTCTCCCCTATATTTTACAGAACTTTTCTCTCATCACGAATCAAACAAAACTGGAGAAGCTCGCAGCACACACAAAGGAAAGAACAAAAAAAAATCCAGTCATCCTTCTCCTCATGATACTGCGGTTTTGATCTGGTAGACGAAGAAGAAGGTCACGGCCTCTTCGACAGGACCAACCCTTTCAGGGTCTTTCACGCCCTTGCCGAAGCTTGCTTGTACTAACTACACAAGAACCTCTTCAGTGTTCATAGAAAAGCTGCGTGTGTGTGAGAGAGAGATGAAACCATCACAATTTTGGTTCACCTCAAATCCACCAACAACTGACAAACTATTAATTTGGTCGAATGGTGACTATTCGACCCAGGTGATTAACTATAAACCCATTTGACCCAGAATCTAAATCGGTTTTTTCAACAATGCACTCTATCATTTAAATGCCAGCAGTATGCTTTAATCGCCTTGCTTTTTGACAAGCATAAAAAAGAGAAGTATCTTACTTTCTTATTTTTTTTCATTGACAAGATGATCTTGGTTCTGTATCGTCTTTCCATTTCTTCGCTGTCCATTCCGCAGTAAGCCTAAGAAGGGGAGCCGCTATTTGTTATCTGACTAAATGGCAGAAGGGGTATTTGTCGCAACTTAAAAGTGTGAGGGTCTTTGTCACTGATCAATGCCAATAAATGCCTAACCGTTTTAGGAAGATCCAAAACAAATTTCATGAAACTTTGATACACACAAATGCAATTAATGGCTTTGCTGATGGGGCACCTATGTGGCACCTATGTGGCACCTCAAGTTTAAACTTTAGGGGTAAACTTGTTATGAGGCCTGCCATGTTTGAAGTGTCAGATCATGATGGTGGGGTTTTGGACACGGACTAGTGTCACCCCCAAAATAGAGATTGACAGTCTACCAAAATAGATATTGACAGTATAATTTATACTTTAGGGATAAGTAGATTGTATAAACTGTGCCCGTGAATTTGGCATCAATCCACGGGCAAGATTCAGTCCATCCCTAGAAATCTTAGCTTCACCCTGAACTATAAAAGCTCCGGAATAAGTGGACTGCAATCCACCTCAGAAATCTGAATTGCAGTCCCCTCTTAGTCTACTAGTAGTCCTCTCTGTAAACTGCATCCTGCCTGTGAATTTGATATCAATCCATCCACGGACAGGATTTATTTTTGGTAGACTGAAATAGGAACTAGTTCGCTTTGCTTCTTGCTGATTACTGATATACAAACAAGGTGGATAACATTGGGGCAAAATTGACTGACTTAAAATCTATTATGATGTCTAAATGAAAACACAAAATTTTTGATGTGTCTTTAATAGGATAGAGAGTTCAAATTGTCCTAACATTGTAAGCAAAATTTTAAGTGTATTTAAAAGTTATTTGACACTATTCATAAAAAAAAAAAAAAAATCATTTTACACCTTTCTACATCCACCATATAAGTAATTAATACAGAAGCAAAGTTTTAATGTTTACTGGAGAATGGCATGGCAAGTGCTTGGGACTTGGGAGCAAAACTGTAGTAAGAGAGAGGACCATGGCTGTGTCGGTAACTGTTTTCCGAGGCCGGATCTGCTCCTCACTCAGGGCGCCTCACTTGTGCCTCACATGCACATCGTACCATGCGTTGGGAACATCTCCCTACTTAGAAATTATTATTCACGGGAGATGTTCACAATGCACGGTGGATGTGCTTGTGAGGCACCTGTGTGAGGAGGACATCCCATTCCCTGTTTTCCTATGACTTAATCATGAAATTAATCCTATCCTATTTGTACAGTTTTGAGGAAGGATGATTAGGACATATCCAGGGGAGACCAGATCTGCTCCTCACACCGGGCGCCTCACACCGACCTCACTATCATGCATTGGGAACATCTCCCGTACTTATAAGTTATTATTTACGGGATGTTCCCAATGCACGGTGGATATGCCTGTGAGGCGCCCCTGTGTGAGGAGCAGATCCCGTTTCTATCCGGGGTATATCCCTTGTGAAAAGACAAAAGGTACCCCTATTAATGTGTAGAGGTGCATAGGGGCCTGTCCTTTCAAATCATCACATTCGGCCTATTCATTGAGATCTAGAAAAGTTGCTTGGCATAATATTGTAGCATAGATAATCAATTTTGAATTCAAAGTCAACTAACCCAACATAATTTTTTTATCAGCTCAACTAACTAACATCATCATGACTCTTTAATCTAAAAGTTCTTATTTGCTAAGGGTTTTAAAACTATAAAACCAAAGCCTCTTGTTAGAAAAACAAAAATGACATGACATATAACTTGATCCTAGTCATAATGATTTGAATTGAATGAGTTGTATAAATCATAAAGATTGAAGTGTTAGATTATAAGGTTTACATAGGAAACCTTTGATTCTTGATTCAAATTATAAATTGTACTATAATCATAAGCTTTTGACAACCAACCTTAAAATTTATGGATTGCTTGTTCTTGATATTTTTTGGGACTAACAGGGGGTTCTTGTGGAATTGTAGGTTAGCTTTTCAGAAAGCTGTATAATGAGTAGTTGCGTGAAGCCACTATTTCAGGGTGAGACAAATCCGGTGGTTCTACTCCATGGCTTTGACAGGTATGTATTATGAGTTTGTTGTGATTGGGCTGTATTAGTTGTGAAACCATTTCTTTATTAGCCTCTGCAGTTCATTCCATCTTATTTCAGTTCCTGTTTAGAATGGAGTAATACACATCCGTTGCTGGAGGAGGCTAGGTTGGAAACTTGGACTGTGGATATTCTTGGCTGGGGATTCAGTGATCTAGGTTTTGTCATATATAACTTTAGCTCCATTGAACTGCAATTAGTTACTTTTTATCTCTGTATCTTGAATCAAATATTGTGGTTTTCCATTGCTGGCATTAGAAAGGCTTCCGGCATGTACTGTGGCTACCAAACGTGAACACCTGTATCAGGTATGTTTGCTCCAATCTTCATGTACCTGCTAATTGAATTGCAATAAATGAAGACTTATTCCATCAATTTTTGCTTCGATATTAAGAGTACGATGAGTTGTTGGTTGATGATCAGAAGCTTTTGATACAGCAATGAAGAATATATTGGAATGCCTCATGATTTTTAATATGCTTATTAATCTCCAATTGATGGAATACCTCTTGGAAGCATCTGTAACTATTGATTCAACGGTGCAAGACATGCTCAAATCAATGCACAATCCATTGAATGGTCTGGATTCTGGAATGGTAGCTATAATGCTACATCCATTAATTGGTAGTAGAGAATTCACTCTTATGGGGCTACCATTTGCATTCTATTTTCTTTCCTTTCAAGTACTATTTTATTGGGATGATTACCATCACTCTTTGTTCCTTTCTGTCTTCTCTCACTCTCCTTTTTTCCATCTTTACAATAGCTTTGGAGATCCTACATCAAAAAGCCCATGATACTAGTTGGACCAAGTCTCGGTGCTGCTGTTACAATTGACTTCACTGTTAACCATCCGGATGCTGTAAGTTTTATTTATTTTTTATTTTTTACTTTTTGGCTTTCCCAGCAAACTCATTAGTATTCTCCTTGAATCCATTTTGTAGAATAAAATTACCATTTCCAGTATGTCTGCCCTTTCACTTGAAAACTTTTATTTCAAAAGAACCCATCATAGAGTAGATTGTTGTCAAATTGCGTATTCTGGCCTAGAATTTGTCAGTTGTCACATTGTTTTTCAAGAAAGATTCGTGCTTCATAACTTGGACAAGCTACAGAATATTTGAGCTCTAATGGTACTTGAGCCATTATCCCTAAATAGTGGTTAAGTCATATAATGCTACTGCACTTGGCAGAGTCAATGTAACATGATGAGTGTCCAAGAGTTTATTCAGTCGACTGAAGTGTACTGAATTGCAGAAGTTACATGGACTCATTCTGATCTTTGGCATTGCTGGGTTGGCACTGATACCAGTTCCTAAACCTTAGTTCAAAAACAATCATGCACTATTAAAGATAGAAGTGGTTGCAATAGTTTTTGTACTTATATTAGCAAATTTAATGCTTTATAATAAAGTGGTTTTGTACTGTGCAGGTTGAAAAGGTGGTATTGATTGGTGCAGGTGTCTATACAGAAGGCACAGGAAGGCTTGCAAAATTACCAAGAGCAACAGCCTATGCTGGGGTCAGTTCTGTTTTCAATAAGAGATGCAACTATTAGGTTGCTACTTCAGTTTTTAGATTTTAACGTTTTTTATTATTTTCCTCACTTATTAATTTTATGTATATATGTATGTAGGTTTTATGATTATGATAATAGTAATAAAAACTTGCTGGTCTCAAAGCTCTTAATTTTTTGCAAAGAAACAGCAATGAAAGTGGTCCACAAACTGGATAGCCAAAAGCAAGAATATAAGCACCAGCTTAGAGGGATTAATCTTTTTGTTCTTCCTGAGCCTTTGATCTACATTGTCCACCTTTTGTAGGACAACCAATGAGGTTTCCTTTTCTTGGAGATTTTTTTGGTAATCACCAAAGTTAAGATTTTTCCTTTGCATTCTTTTCTTCAGCAACGATTAGTTCTCTAGGGACCATTTTCCACCTTTCAGAATCATCATCCTAAGGTCTTTACAGTTCCTCAACGCACCTTCCATTTTAATTATTAAATTAAGTTTTTTTTGGTAAACCATCAATTTAAGAACTCAGACTAACAACTCTTTTTCTCTTGAAAAAAAGGATTTTATTTGTTCCACAAGATTCTCAACAAAGTCATATAGAAGGCGATTTAATTGTCATTTAGCTTATGCACAATAGCCAGCCATGGGCAAATTTTTTATGACTCCATTTGTTGTAATGGGTGAGAACAAATTTACATGATTTATAGTTTTGCTTAGTTACCATTTGACTGTTATTATTTTCCCAAAATAGTTGATTTTTGCAAGTTTTTTTCTTTTATTCTCCCTCCATACATGCATTGGAACAGAGTTTACCAGTGGAATGCATGAAGAATGTTGGCATCCACCATTTGTTGGATCTCCTTAGGAAATCTTCCCTAAAGTGCCATCCAATCATATAGTTGTCACATAAGATATGGTTTATTATAGTGGTGAAGAAAAACTATGAACAACATAGAGAATATGGCTTGCTGTTGTGAATGGGATAAAAGAAGTTAGCATATCAGTTTACACAATTCAATAATGAATGAAGTAGAAATGTTGGGATTTTGGGTTGGTTTCTTTGTTATGGAGATTTCTTACACGCGCACCATGTGGGGGCTACAAAACCTTCTAAAGCTCCCAATGAGGCAATTCTTTATTTGTTTAACTTATTTTACAGTGTTCCTTCCTTTTTGTTATTTAATGTCATTGAATGCTCTCAAAACCTAAAGTTTGTAGCACTGTGTTGAACTAGGTAGCTTTACTGAAGAGCATTCCATTGCGGCTGTATGCAAACCTTCTGGCCTACAAAAGAATTTCATATGGCACCATCTTAGACTGGACTAGTGTGAGTATATTTCTTACTGGGTAATTATTTCTCTACTTTGATATTACAAATATAAGTTGAATCTAATGGTATTTTTTCTCTCATTCCACTAGGTTGGCCGCTTACATTGCCTGTTGCCTTGGTGGGAAGATGCTACTGTTGATTTTATGCTTAGTGGGGGCTATAATGTTAGTTCCCATATCAAACAGGTAAACACAAAACAGAAGTTAATCCAGAGGCATAGTTAGATTGTAAAATTGTTCTACAATGTTATTGGAACAGAGGAATACTCCTAGATGGGAATAAGCATTCTTTCCTACTTGAGCGTCTGTCCCATAGGGCTGGCAGGTTCTTCACATTACCAAAGAAAGGTATCATACCTTAACACATGCAGGGAAGACAGCTGATGGCTCAAGACAAGCAAGGATGGAAGTGGACTTAGGTGGTGTTTGATAACATTGCCGTTTCTACCTGAATTTTTGGGGTTGATCAATACAAATTTTTGACAAATGTGTATTGTCACATCAAATAAGATAGTCACTTCATCTAGAAAAATGCATGCATGGGATTGATCTTTGGTGTTTATAGATGAATGCCAAATTTGACATTTCAGGTAGAAATAGCAATTTGTACTGAAAAAGTTTCTGGTAGTAAAAAAAACTTCTCACAGATTTGTATTGACCAACCTCAAACTTAGTAGGTAGAAATGACAATTGTACCAAACACAACCTTGGTCTCTTAGGTCCAGGCACCCCAGCCAAACCTGGTCCATGTGCAATTCACTAATCAGCCATTTGATCTTTCCCTCCTAAAAATGCTCCTGGACCGGAAAAGGTCCTCATTGAATCATACTTAGCTTCAAACTCTTTGGAGTTCAAAAAAACAAACAGTAAATTATCCAGCGAAAATAACCAGGTGGTTTTTGGGCCATAAGAGCTTGTTAGTGGGTTTTCTGGGTGTTAGCCATATGTAGCTCAAAGGGGAAATTGCATTCTTATGTCATGATTCCTTGGAGCTGAACTATGTTGGTGAAGATGGTTATGAAGTAAAGTTGACTATTTTTTCAATGTTTGTTTTGGTTGAATTTGTACTGCTTTCCTACAGGTAAAACAGAAGGCACTCATCATCTGGGGTGAGGATGACAAGATTTTCAGCAGAAAGCTTGCAGTGGTGAGTTCATTTCTTGAGTTTAAATTATAGGAAATGTTGCAGATAAAATGTCAGACTGCATGCTCATTCAATTCACAAATATGGGTTCCATTTTCTCATGAAAATGTTACAAAACATTTTTAGAAAAAGCCAGTTGATTCATGTTTCTTTTGAATATCAATCAATCAACAAATCAGACTAAATAGCATAAAAGGATGTCATCTAATCTATATAATGCAGAGACTACATTGTGAACTGCCAAATGCTATTATCCGTCAAATACCAGATTGTGGTCATCTTCCTCATGTGGACAGGCCGGAAACTGTTTCCAAGTTGATTGTAGATTTTATTCGAACTGGCCATTGATAAAGTTCTAGAGGTGTCCAATTCTTGATTTATTACCGTATGTAAGTTGTATTTTGAAATCATTGTCATTTCTCGTGCTAGTTTCTGGCTTAGTAATACTAGTGCTTGTTTCAGGGGGGCACTGCGTTTTGATGTACTTAAGTGGAAGTGGCAGCTACTTTACAGTGCTGGACTCTTTGAAGGTTTGGCGTGAAATTTGCAACCATTTCATGCCCAGAACTTGTTCTAGTGGGTTTAATTGCAGACAGAGTACCTCATTGCACATGTAATAAGTTTGAAAAGATTGACCAAAGTTGCTAAATGCTATACTTAGTAAGTAAACCCATGCAATGCTGAGGTTAAATAGAAATTTGGGTAGGCTTGGATTCAGGATAGGGATGATCATTTTCAACTGGGCTTTCATCAGGCCTGGCCCAACCTGCACATATCATATAAATATTATAACATACTTAAATATAATATTTTATATTATTTAATGTGTAAAACATATTTTATACACATTATTTGGCAATGTAATATAAAATATTATATATTTAATATAAAATGGCTTTTAAACATAAAAGTTATAGGCCTAAAATCAAACTCAGGCTGGTACCAAATGTCCAAAGCCCAGCCCAGCCCAACCAATGATCACCTCTAATTTAGAGTTGTAAGTCAGGTTGCCAAATTTGAAGAATTTAACTACATGAGGCATGTGTTAGGGTTTAGGCCCATTGAAACGTGTTTGTTTATTCCATGATAAAATAAAATATTCAAACATATTTACTCGTATTAGCAATTTATGGGTAAAGATGGAATTAGCATGGGTGTAATAGACACTTAGGCTATGTTTGGTTTGAAGGAAAAGGTAGGGAAAGGTGGGGAAACCTTAACAGACCTTATATAGGTTTCCTTGTCTTCCCCTTTCTTTTCCTACCTTTTCCTACCAAACACAACCTTATTGTCTTTTTCCACTTAAAAAGTAACCAAAGGGCTCTGTAAGTCCATTTTATCCCCAAAACTCTGGAAGTTTAAGGGCAGGTCAAAGTTGAGGAGAGATTTAAGTCTTTTTTAGAAAACCCAAGGGAGTTTCAAGGAATTTATCCTTAAATTAAAAATAATTAACCAGTAACCACATGTATGAGAAGTGAGAGGAGGATTTAGATGTGAGCTTTGTGGTGAGATGACCCCTCACCTTCCCTCTTTCTTTCTAATATAAATATGGATGGTTTGATGTTGCCTTGTAGGATGGCCTTAATGGTTTCTTTATTTTTGTTATATGATCAACTTTCATTAAAAAACAGCAAAACCAAAATGGGGTTCTGAAAATCCAGTACAAACAAGATCACAAGCAAATTTACTTACCAAACTAGACAAGCCGGTTAGGCCCAAACCCAAAATCATGATAACTATATCGTTTTTACATACTCATATTTGTGAGTGGCTTCTTTTAAAGTGTTTATTGGGTTTATTGCTTACTATATTTAAAAGCATCCAAAAATATCCAAATGGGTGGTTGATGAAAAAAAAAAGGTAAAAGACTTAAACCTCCCTCGATGTTTCTCACAAATACTTATACCTCCCCTCTTATTTTTAATAGAACTTAAACCTTCCTTGTCAATAAAATGTGCCGGTATATTATAGAATCAATTAATAGACTATTTTACCCTTAATTATTTTTAAAATTTTCAAAGATAACCGGTTAAACTGTAGCAATCTAAAGCAATAATATAGGGTTAACTAAGAAGAGTATTAGAGCTTGTCCCATGCAGAAATACAGAAATAATTACACAAAACAGAGAACTAAAACCTGAGCCTACGCCTATAAATGAACTACAAGGTCTCATGCAATAGAAAGACTAAGTTTCATGAAAAATAGAAGAAAACCATTTAGTTAAAACTAGAGTTTCGGCCACACGGTGAGAGTTTTTGCCATCTATAAAATGCTCATGAGCACAAACCAACTCTCCATCTTGCAATCTTTGTCTGAGGAAACATCCAAGAGCAAATTCCTACGGTGGTAATGACATTCAAACTACAATGTAAAATCTGATTTAGATTTAAGAGTTAAGACCACTTGCAGATATTCAATAAAACTCTCATTATCATGTAAAAACTCAGATAATTAAGCCATCTGAAAAGACATGACGGATTCAGAGTCTTGTTCCACAAAGGGAGAAAGTACTTAGTTATGCTAAAAGAAACCTTGATGCAATGGAGTTACAGAGCTACAAAGCTGTTGTAGATTTCTCCTCGTCATTGTTGATCATCAACCGATGTAATGATGCTGTTACTATCTTCTCCCTATTTACTTCTTTACCAACGATTAAAAGAGGGCTCAGGGTTGTTTAGGCGAGTAAAGATCTGTGAGCAGAGAAAGGTGGTTCATGCCTCCATGGGTTTGGATAATGGCTTCAATGTAATACTCGTTTTGGGTCGGAGTAGAACTAAAGATGAGCTTTATTTCGCAACATCCTGGAAGTAGATATTTGTGATCTTTAACGATGGATGTTCAAGCCACCTCATTTTACATTCGTTGCTTTTGGAGATTGTTATTATATATGGGCATTCAAAGTATCGATCGATACTTTGAACCATGCAGAAATATAGTTTTTTTTTTAATTTGGTTTTTGGGTAATTTATATCCATATTTTTCATTAAAAAATAGTGGGTCTCAAAAAACTTGTAAACAGGCGTATCGGGACCCAAAAGATACGATACCAAATACCCGATATGGAATATATCGTATCAATTTTTTGAACCTTTTTCAAGCCATGAATGAATGTTACATGTTTAATCATAGGCTTTAATCCATCTTGAAAAAAGAAAAGGGAGGTTTCACCGTTTCAGTTATTTGAAAAGCCCGTTGAGAAGTAATAAGCACTCCCAAACAACTTGATAATAATGCTAAAACTGGATCTACCTCGTCAAACTGTTGAGCCTAGCAAATAAGGAGGAACATTTGGCAAAAAGGAAATACAGATGTTGGGTCGATCTAAATCCAACTGAGCCCCAACCCAACCAACCTACCTGAACACTTAAGCCAAACTATAAAGTGGGCGAAACTGTGAGAGAAATCCACCTGACCTTCTCAAAGGACGTAGTTTTCCTTAACGAGTATGTTCAATGCAGAGCCACAAGGCCCACAACTCACAGGAATTCCGCTAAAATTGACATCCTGTTGATCTTTGCCAAGGATAGGCGGATGCATGGCCAGCATCCCAGCGCAAGAGCGGAAAACAAAGCCGAACAGGTTTCCACAAAATCACGAATATCCATGGGTGGAAATTTTCCTTGCCATTTAGAGCAGAACCTAAATAATCCCTTCAAATGTCCCAAATGACAGTCAATTTGGACACAAAGGTTTTCACCAAACATAGCTTATAGGATATAGTGTGGGGCCCATTTAAGAAAGCCAGAAAAGCCACAAGCCACTCCGCTTCAATCCTTTCAAATAGGCAAACATGTATGGCTTTTGTAGACAGCTGAAGGTTTTGCCTTCATGATTAGCATTTTGTGTCTAAACATTCCCCCTTTGCTGCACAGTCATAATTAGAATTGGGAACATTCTTGATTCCGATTTCAGACCCCTATTCCCACAAATGAAACAGACCCTAAATTCTAATATTTGCCTCAACCAACGAGTCTAAATGTTGAGGGAAAAGAACCAGTAACTAAACTTAGAAGTGTAAATTGGGCAGTACCGCCCAATTTGGACGGTATGATTGCATAGGTCAATGGGCTATGTTGGGTTTGGAGTTTCAGGTCAGCAAGGCCCATATATATTTTTATATAATATATATTATATAAATTCTAATTATATAATCATATATAATATATATAATATATTAATAAAATAAACATTTTTTAATTTTATTTAGTTATTGTATAATTGTATACATCAAAATTTATAAAAAATTAAAAATTTAAGTTTTTTTTCAATTCTTTAAATAAATAACTTTGGCCCATTTACAGCCTGGCCTGGCCCAAGGCCCGGCCCATGGACCAACCAGGCCTGGCACAGCACAGGCTTGGGCCAACTCCCCAAAAGAGGGAGGGACAGCCCGTACTTAAAACGGGTCGCACATGGACCATGTCGTGCCGGTCCATAAAAAATTAATTTCTATCAAACCAAACAACGCATTAGTGACTAATTCAACTAGACGTTCCATTGGGTGAATATTTTAATAGTCAAGGTGGAAAGACCGCCATTCCACGTGATTATGGTAAAAAATCAATAATGTCCAATTACATCGGCAAATATGATATACACTCCCAAACCGTAAATAATGCTCCTCCTTTTTATGGTGGATGAAGATCCATGTCAGGCATACGTAACGTTCATAAAACACTAGGGGGTGTTTGTCCACCATGTAAAAAGGGCGACTGATTTGGGCACTTTTGATTTTGAATCAGAGACCAAAAGGACAAAAAGGACCATTTACTTGTCCAAATCACCCTACGGAAAAAATGAAAGGTCCAGAAGAGGCCGAGTCGGTGAGCTGGGGGNGGGGGGGGGGCCCTGTCGTCCTGACTCCTGCGCCCCAATGGTACCAAAATTCCTCATTAAATTAATAATAAAATAAAATACTGCTGCTCAGTCTCTAGACATGTACAAAAAGGAGAGGAGAGAACAAAAATCTAAAAAGCAGTGGAAGAGAGTAGTGAATTAGGTCCCTATCTCACCAGCAGCTACATAACCACTCAAAAGGAATACAAAACCCATCCATCCAGGCTTTACCTGTTTTCCACTAATGGGAAAAAACAACAAAACATAGTGGGAAATTGTACACTATAGATGATTCCCCCCCCCCCCCCCCATCCCCTACAAACCACATTGCCTGCCTATCAGCAAATGGTGGCAAAATCTTGTCCACACATCAACCTTCATCATCTCCCTCAATTCCAAACCCTACCCACATCCACCATTACACATTACCACTACCACCACCAGTCCAGCACCACCTCAGCCACCTTCCTTCCTTTGCTTTGCTGCCTCAAGCCCACAAGAAAAGCAAGCCTGAAAACCAAACGGCTAAAAGAAGGGAGAAGTTCTTGATGAGTGCAACAGCACCACTGGTGTCTGTGTTGATGCCAGAGGGGCCTAGACCTGAGCCAATCCCTCCTATTACTCCAGTTGTGGGTGTTAGAGTTGATGAAGGCGTTGTTGTTGTTGATGGAGTTGTAGTTGTTGTAGTTGAGGAGGGCGTTGTGCCTGTTGGAGTTGTAATAGTTCCTGCAGAGCTGGTGGTGAAAAGAAGATGCTGGTAAGTGTAATATTTCCCTCCATAAAGAGAATCAAAATCCTAAAAAGCAAGTTGAACTTCTGTATGAAAGACAAAACGACCGCAGCACCAGACTGAAAGACAAGGAAACATCAACATTGTGACAACCGTAAACCAGTAGAAAATTTTAATAAGATGCAGTCCTAGATCTAGTCTCCCCTTCAAGGCAGTTCTTTGTTTTTGTACATTACCCACTTCAAATCTAACATTGCGATTTGTGAAATGCCAACGCCACCACAAATCTAAGCTAAAAATGCCAGGTTTGGGAGCATATTAGAAGGAAAAATGGATGGTGCAAGACAAGAGACACCAATTTCCATCAAGCTAAAGCAGTCTGGTACCGTGCAATGTTCAAGACAGAATATTATCCAGGAGCTAGAGAAATAATGGCAGGAGATTTTCTTGTAGGCAGATCAGAGGAAAAGTAAAGCATCAGATTCTACTACTAAGATGCACAGTTGCACACTTTGCAGAAAGATAGATGAAGACACAGAACCTCACAAAAGTTTGTGCTTTACATCCGATCAAAAGGACCACACAAACAGATTCCTTTTTATTTTGCAGGAAGATATGAAAGGAATCAAAGAAAGTCCCACGAAAATGACAACAAATTATTGCAGGTAAGAAAACAGTGCAACATCAGGTGCATTCTCAACCCACAGAGAAAATAGAAGAAGAAAAACAAAAGAAATTAGAAAGAAATTGAGATAGTAGTATACCTTGGGTTTGGAGGATAAATACAACCATTAGCAGTGCCTGAAGTTACCAAAGAAAAAAAAAACACAGTCAATACACTGTAATTTTTTTTCCTTTTCATTGCTTTTTAAACTGTCAAATAAACTAGCGGGCTTACTTGGATCGGTTGTAGTAACCATGGATGTGCCTGAAAAATCACATGTTCCTTGTCCTTGATTTTTCCTCTGGAAGTAGCTGTTCACAGCATAAGAACAATGGGCCTTTACAGTGTTGGGTTGGTAGCAAGCCCCATTTTGAAGGATAGGCGTGCAGTCAGCTCCAGCTCCACAAGCGTAATCTAATGTCTTCTGAAGGGCAGAGTCACTCACATCACTCCTACAGATACACCAATTTGCAGCTGACGCCAGAAAGAAAGAGATAGTTTTAGCCGAATTTAGAAGAATTAGTACTACAGAGAAAAAATAAATTTGAGAACAGAAGAAAAAACAAAGAACAGCTAAAACCCAGAGGCATGGTAAGAAAGCAGCAGCAACGAAAACAAGAAAAATAATGATAATGGAGAAAAAATGGAAAGAATAATCCATGTCCAGAAACATGGAGAAAGATCTAGCATCCACACACTAATAATGAAAAAAAAAAAAGATGAAGAACAAGCTTGAAGAAAATCTGGTTCCTGACATTACACTGGGAAAAAAAGAGACAAAAGGAAAAAGAAAAAAAATGTATAACATTAGCATACCGAGTTGCCGACTAAAGAACGTTTGCACCTTAAACTCAAAGAAAATAGGCTAAAAAGAGAAAAAGAAAGAACGTTTAATCCAAGGACTCACCAGAGTGACCAGTCATGGCCAAGATAAGCGCTAGAAAAACTAAGAGAGCCATGATTGCAGCAAGAGTGGGGGGACAAGAAAGCCCAGAAAGGAGATATTAATGGTGATTGAACAAAGTTGGTTGAAACTCAGAAATCTAGATGGGTGTAGAAAGAAAGAGAGGAAGGAAAACCTTCTCAGGAGGGTGAGAGAGAGCAAATGAATGAATGAAAGATGGGGCAACTGGGCGAGTGGGGGAGTGAAGGGGTGATTTTTTAGGGTAGTACTGAGTAGACGGTGTGCATTGTCTTCTTACAAAGAGCTTTTGTTAATTTATTTTTTATTGGGACTGGGGAGAGTGGTCTGGAAGAGAGTTCACATAAACACCCCAGATGCACATCTCAACGTTTTTTCAAAACATCTTCTGTATTTGTCACAGGGAGATGTTCCTAATACACGATTGAGATGTACTGTAGGATATTTTTGGAACTGGGCGGCAGATTTGAACTCGTCTGGGGAGGAGAGCAACGCCCAACTTTTGGTCCAAACGGTCGTAAACTCAACTTCAGACTTGAGGATCAAAATTTAACCCAACCTGGTTGACAGATATTTGGGCTGGGCTGGGCCCCAATGGTCTGTTCTCTTTTTTTTTCAGCCCCTCTTGATGTGTTGTCACTCTGGTCTTGCATTATGATGTCCTTTCTTGGCTGTGATTGGGGACATCTGCATTTCAGCAGCATACAATAATTTTGCCCATGCTTTTATGATACCCACTTTGCATAATGACGAAAATGCCCCTCACTCTAAAAAATGCCCAAGCTCAGCCATGTTGTTTCCGGGTTCGGATCTTATCTTCTTTTCTATCTTTAGCTCGGTAAATAAAAGGTTAAAGGTCAAAGTCCCGATAGGAAAGGGAGTTCGGGCCAGATTATAAAGGGCATTTGACCGTTGGGGCAGTACGTAATCTAACGTGCGTGGCTGTTAAGTAGGCCCTACAACTTATATCTCCAATCGTATGCGGTATGCAGTACTCTGACACGTTATGAACCGTTTAATTGTTTCATTCCTGGACAAATCTGCGGACTGCGGAGAGCGGAGACGCTCAATGTGCCTAATCGCATTTTGTGCAGCAGTTTGCTTGTGAAAGGTAAAATTATCATTTATCAATTATTAATGCTTGCATATAAATGCAAAACCCTTGAAAAGAATGCCCGTGAGGCCGTGATGCAACGCCAAGGTGCATCACCACACTGCAACCCGCTAGAAGACACGTTATAGGACAAAGATACCTTTTTTTTTGTGCAAATACAAAGATACCTTATGACCCATGAAAATTGATAATCTGCGGTGGCGCTGAAGTTTGGGTAATGCACGGTTCGATATGAAAAAAAAAAAGTACACTTCATTTCCTGTCATAATTGGGTATTATAAACTGGAAAATCCATTAATCCGTTTACCGTTATTTATAATTTTCTTTTTCTTTTTCTTTTTCTTTTTTTTTTTTTTGGATTGGGTTATGGGTCTTTCAAATGAAAGTGTGTAATAAGGCCATGGACCCCATGTGTGCTGTCAAAGTGAGTTCTTACGATCCCAACAACATTTCGGGAGTTCTGATCTAAGTTCCAACATGTCCCAACAACAACGTGCAGTGGAACATCTTCCTTGTCCTTTATGATGTAATATTTCTTATGTACAATTGTAACATTGTTGCAACTAAATGCCCCTTTTTATTTCTGGGGTAAGTTATTTATCCATGTTTTTTTTGGGGTAAATAAGGCAAAATCCGTTTTAGTACAAATTTATTATTAAAAGGAGTATTTTTGTCCCATTCAAATTATGGTGCCCTTCCCCTAAGGCCCCATTCATTTTTCAGTAAGTTAATTATCCGTGTAAATATAATTACCTGGGTAACTGTTTTTTGGGAAACACTTACCCAAGTAAGTGTATTTATTCATGTTCTTTTATTTTTCAAGTAAAAAAGAAAATGATCATTTTAGCCATAAAAATCTATTATTAAAATGGCTATTTTTGTCCCATTCAAGTGTCGGGAACTTTCCTCCTAGGTGGGAAACTTATTTATCCACCTAGAATATGAGTAATAGACTTTCCTTGGTCCCCACATTAATCTGGAAAAAAAAAAGAAAAGAACATGAGATTCTTGATCAATACGAACCAAAATCCCATTTACCTACTTTCCCCCTCACAAAATCCAAAAAAAATAACACCCCTAAGTGGGAAAATTATTTATCCACCTAGAAGATAAGTATCACTTAGGTACCCTGGAAAATAATTTTTCCCTAATCCCAAAAAAAAAAACATATGTTTTTTGGTCAATGGGAACCAAAATCCCATTAACCAACTTTCCCCCTCTCAATATCCAAAAAATGGATGCCCCTTGTTACTATTGTAGTTAGGGATTGGAAAGTCGTATGTTTATTTCCCATCTATGGAATAGTAAGAATCATGTTTTAAGAGTCGGACCAAAGTAAAAACCAAAATGTTCTCTAGGTCATGGTTTTACCAATTACCGGGAGTTCATCCAACCTACCAAAACTGTCATTTTACCAGGACCCAAAAAAGGCCATTGGTTCTCAATTTTCATGGTCCAACCGTCTCCGGTCTAGGTTGAGTATTAAAAATTTATAATAATGGTTAAATGTATCTCATTCTTTTTGGAGTAATTTTGGCTAATTTGGAACGCGGTCCACAATAGACCATTGTGCATGTGCTAATGGGCTCTATTCTATGGAAAACCGCATAGCTTGGGAAATAACTAATATTATTATCATTTATAATCCACCTTGAAATTTATGTGACCAGTGTTTGTGTGTGATTTAAATTAAAAGTGTTAAAAGTTTCACGCAATTTGTATGATTTTCCTCTCAAATACTTTGTTTATTTGTTGGGCACTCTATTTTGCCTAAAAATATTTTATTTCCACAAAATATAAAATATTTTGTCCTCGAGAATACTTTTTTTGGGTAAAACACAACATGAAATTGTTTCTTTTTCCATGTGACTTGGAGAGTAACTTAAATCCTACATGGACTAAAAAAGGAATTAGATTAGAATTTATTTGATATATGCCTTATAAGGCATATAAAGAGTCTAAAGAATCACTTGGGCTGCGTTTGGAATTAGTGTAAAACGTCATCAATGTATTTTACACTTAACCAGAAGGTGACTGCTACTTTTTTTAAAATAGTGATGGGTGGAAGAGTGTATCGATGTAAAACTTTAGAGGTGATGAGGTTTTATATATATTATCAACGTAAAACTACACTCCATCCAAACGCACGCAAAATTAAACCAGAGTGTAGTTTTACGTTGATAATAATTACACCATCTTTCCAAATCCATACAAAACCAAACTGATGTAAAGTTCACATTGGTTCTTGATTTACATTGCATCCAAATGCATCCTTGATCAAGTAAATCCCGGTTCAAGATAAATTTGCACTCTGGTTCACTTTTGCCTATATTTGGCAGCATTACATTTTTTCATCAACAAATGACAGACCAATGCATATTTACATCAATAATAAGATGTAAAAGTACATCAATAAAAAAAAAGTAAATTTGCATTCAAGAAGGCTTTTGATAAAAAAAATCATATGCTTTATTGGAATTTGTGTTTGCATCCATTACAGTTAAAAGTATGTTTTGGTAAGAAGGTAAATTTGTCAATGCAAAACTAACTCAATTTTACAATTTATATAAACCGTTTTACACTCTACATATTTGCATTCACACATATTTGCATATTTTCCAAACACAGCCTCAAGGAGCTTGTGTTTTTCCTGCCTTCCTTGTTTGTGTTTGCTTTAGTGGTTGTTGTGAGTTTGTAAACCTTTTTACTAAAAATTGAAAAAACAAATCTGTCCAAACCCCATCTAGCTAAAATAGGAACCTATTTAAATTTTCAATACATTCCTTGCGTTGATATGAACCTGTCTTTAAGGTCTCATTTGCTTTTTGATAAATGATTTACTTGGACAAAATACATTTGTCCAGAAAAATATTTCCTAGAAAAAACTTATTATATCAATGTTGTTTTTCTCCCCATGTAAAGATGTAATAGCATGTTACAATCCTTAAGGAATGTGAACATATATTCTCCAAGCCTCTATAGCCCATGTGAAATAAAGTAATCAGGTTATCCGGCTATTGGCAAATCATTCAAGATTTCGTTAAGATGATTAATTTAATAATGAGGAGGTAGAGCCAAAAAAAACTTAATAATGAGACACGAATAAATTCTCATTCGTGAATGATAACTAAAGCATGACAAAAAGGGGAAAAGTGGGTCAAAGTTGCTTTTTCTCGTTTTCTGTTATTGGGCGCTATAAATAGTTGGCTGTAGATCCAAACAGGACACTAAAGAGGAACCTTTTAGTAGTTCGGTGATGGGCTTTTGCCCTTCTTTATCTGATTTCCGGTCGCTAACGTGGTGATTGTAGACCTGAAATTCCTCTCCTCTTTTTCCCTCTTTTATTAATGGAGGAATATGGAATTTCCATCGCTCCACCCAAATTCTTCTACAGTTCTACACATTTGAGATTCCTCCTGTCCTGCCCAAATGATTCTGTGTTTGTTCGGATCGGGACCCACAATACACCCAGCACCACCTGGGATGTCTCCTGAACAAACCACAGTCGGTGACGTTGATCTTTTATTCCTCTAGCCAAAGGAGACTTTCCTCCGCCGTCCGATTAAACGATGTAATGTTTAATGTGGGGTCCATCAGGTGGTGGTGGGCCCTCCTTTTTTTGGGGTGGCATCAGATCCCTGCACGTGCCCACTTCGTGATCACAGATCTAATTATTCCTCCATTATTTTGAAAAAAATAATATTTTTTATTTTATCACTTTTTCTGGGGAGGCGGTGACGAGTCCCATCGATACGAGTGAAGAGGCCAACAGTGAAAGCCACGCTACAAATTTATTACTTGTTTCTGGACGTCGGGCGTCGGGGTTTACCAGTGTCGGTCGACAGGTACCACTTTGTTTGTTTGAGGCTTTCACTTTGATCGCTCCTCTCTCTCTCTCTCTCTCTCTCTAATTGGTCGTGGGTCCATATCTAGCCACGTGGCTAACAGTAAGCTGACTAGGACCCACAATGCACAACGGTTAGCAGACTGGTTACCCTGCTGATTGACACAACAGGGAGCAAAGGTCGCAGACGTGCAGCAGAGAGAGCAGAGCAGAAGCAAAGACAAGCAAAGACAAAAAGACAAGACTTTAACCAAAATTACGTTAATGCTTTAGTCATTGCAAAAGAAAATAGAGGCTTCTTTTTGACCAGAGCTTAAATGCTTTGCTTTAATGCTTTTGGACATTTTCTGTTTTAACTTTGAAAGAAGAAGGGAGGGATACGAAAGTAATTATGTTTATGTTTATGATTGAGATAAAGTAAATAACCTTCCAACTGTCTCTCCAACGGACCAATCTTTTTTATGGACACCTCTGACAAACCCAATTAAGTAATTGTCTGTAGCTAATGACTGGTTAACCACTGAAGCAATTTAATAGTGCAACGCAATTGGCTGTGATTTTTATATCAATGATAAATTATGCTTTTCATTAAGTTGACTTCAAAAAATGTTAATAAATGAGTAAAATAGAAACTTATCAACCGTTGAAGAACAATCAATTGGTTGATCATGATCAATAATTTTGTAGTTGTTTAAAAAGCCTAAGCAAGTTTAATATCCAATCATCCTGTGGATAGAATTATGCCACACCACACTTTGATCTCCTCAACTTGAAATTAACGGAGTTTAGACTTAACGGCTGTTTGGAATTCAAAAGATTAGGGAAATTGTCTAAAATTTACTATGAATTTTCAGTATTTCTCTTAAACTCACCACAACTTTTCAAAATGTTTAAAACTCACCATGTCACTAACTTGACGTTAAACAAATTAACGGGTGTTAATATATTACCATTTTAATATTTAGACATGAAAAAAGGAAAAGTTCAAAAAAATATTTTTAAATATAAAATACATAAAAACATAGAAATTACAAAATATTATAGAAATTGCAAACAAAATAAAAAATTATTTTCAAATTATAGAAACTATAGTAATTAAAAAACAAAATCAGAAAATAAAAATTATAGAAAAACACCYAAAATTATAGAAAAACACAGAAATTGCAAATAAATAACAAAAAATACAGGAAATTTTATAGATTGCATAAAATAGAAAAATGTAAAAAAACAGAAATTATGAAAATATTGGAAATTATAACAAAACACTAAAAATGCAAAAAAAAAACAAGAAAGTTGAAAACTGAAAAATACCATTTTTCCTCTAACTCACCATTCAAGGGTAATTTGGTCATAAAAATTGTTATGTATGCTGACATGGACATCTCTGTTAAGAAGCATTAATGGTGCACTAACCGAAGGTGAGTTTTGGAAAATAAAAACTTACTAACATGGTTAGTTTTAGACATTTTGAAAAGTTGTGGTGAGTTTAAGAGAAATGTTGAAAACTCATGGTGAGTTTTAGACAATTTACTCCTCTCTCCCTTGCTCCTTTGTCCCTCTCTTGCCCACTCTCATTCTTCTTTCTTCTTCCCTCTCCCTCTTCCATTTCTCTCATTGACCTGTGAGGAGAGGGAGAGATAGAAGGGAATTTAGACATGCTATCTAGTAATTAAAATTAATCATAGGCCTTATTCGCTTTTCGGTAAGTTACTTACTCAGGTAAATGCAGTTACCTAGGTAAGTTTTTCCCTAGGAAACACTTATCCGAGTAAGTGCATTTACCCATGTTCTTTTATTTCTAATGTAAATAAGGAAATGACCATTTTAGCCATAAAAATCTATTATTAAAAGGGGCATTTTTGTCCCATTCAAGTGTTGGCAACTTTCCCCCTAGGTGGGAAAGTTATTTACCAACCTAGGAGATGGATATCACTTACTCGGATAAATAATACCTAGGAAAATAAACTTTCCATGTTCCCCACATAAATCTGAAAAAATAACATGAGATTCTTGGTCAATGGGAACCAAAATCCCATTGACCAACTTTTCCCCCCTCTCAAAATCCGAAAAAAGAATACCCCAATAGTTATATGTAAGGCTGTGTTTGGTTTGAAAGAGAAGGTAGATAAATTTATACAAACACAGCCTAAAAGACAAATCTTCCCATTCCTTTCACTACCTTTTCTTGTAAAATTAGTTACCTAATATTGTAGTTAGAAATAGGGATTTCAAGGGAGTCCAAATGCAATCTGATTAATTTGAAATTTGATTATCTATTTATATAATAAGATGGGATTTGGATTCCCAAACTTGCAGCCATTTAATGTAGATCCAACCCATCAAATTTTATTAACAACTGTGAATGAATCCTTATAATTAAGAACAAGCTGGTGAGTACTTTTGTCTCTATACTCCACAAAAAAAAAAAAATCTTGGATCTTTCTTCCAGCTTGAGTGTAAAGGATATATGAAGTAGGAGCTAAATTCTAGGAGGGATCCCCATAAATTTAACATATACGTGAGGGAATATTTCCAATATGCACAGAGTTTTTGCTTTTAGGAGATCTCTTAAACATGTATGTATAAAGCAAGAGAGGATGAAAATGTCCATTCTCTAAAGATGGGAAAGCCTTGGAAAAGCCTGAAATGTCACAATATGCCCATAGCTTTTTGGATTCATCTGCTGTGGATCTCAATTAAAGTATGAAAGATGCCAATATGCCGTTGCTCTCCAATTGATAGATAGATTGTTCCTTGAGCCCCCTCAAGCTGAGATCAGATTTGCGCCCCACAAGGGGGCGGCCCACAACTTTCCACAGCACATACCTGCTGTATATTAAGAACATCTCATGATGATATATCAGAAATGATGATGACATCATCAGGAGATGTTTCTAATACACGACAAGGATGTGCTGTAGAACGTTGTGGGGCGCAGATGTGTAACTCCAAAAGATCTGTGATAGTAAGGTTCTTATATATCGCAGAGAATATTAGGTCTTTCTCCACTCTACATCCTTTATTAATGCTGCAAGCTCCAACCCAAGATGCTTTTGAAGGTATCTTGAATAAGCCCTTTTATTAAGTAAAACATTGAATTAAAAGAGTTGTAGACAGCTGATGTCACTTTAAGAATGCTTAGCTAGCATATTATAGAGTTCAACTAGGCATCATAAAAGTGGTTACCAATCCAATGGGCTTTCATCAAAATTCATAAGAGGTTTTGATTGATCAAAGTCTTTCCAATACCATGTCTTTTGGCATCATAGATATAATAATTTTAGGAAAAATTACGGTTTGCTCCCTTAGAAATTTTTTGTTAGCTTTCTAGATGTATTATCCTAAATTCTCGCCTATGCTACGTACCATCCTTTGTATTATAATAAATTCTCTTATGTATCACTATTCCCAACTATACAAATCCATAAAAATCTACAAGGTGGAGGAATCTATAAAATAAATCAGACACACACAACATACATAATCTATATTTCGAAGTTGTGTTACAAAAGTTCACCCCTAGCCCAAATTCCACGAAGGGTCATCATGTGCCAGGATGGATTTAATACCTATGGTAAAGGCTAGCCCGGGGACACAAGTAATTAGCTTATTGCAATGAAAATCCGTTAATACATATATATCATTCACATGTTTAATTTGGCATAGAAATAGATGTATTAATAGTTGTTGTTTGAAAATATATGTAGTTTTAGCCGTAAACGAGTATAAATATGTCAATTCAATGACTCTAATTAATAGCTGTAAAAACGTTTAAATTGAGACTTCTTTGCTTTTAGGTTGTGTTTGGTTTGAAGGAAAAAGTAGAGAAAGGTAGGGAAATTTATACAATGTAAAATGGAAGGAGATTAATTTTGATGCTCGAAGGAAAGATAAATTATGCAATTGGTTCAGGAACAGTGAAGGTATTTCTTGAAAACAAATTCGGGATGGGCCACGATTAATATGGCTGGAGAAGCATGGGCAGCGTTAGAGGCCCACAAAAATGACAATCGAGTTGAGAATAATTCAATATTGCATGGGCAGCGTTAGAGGTCTCGAATCAGCCGAGGGTCGTCTATACATGAATAGAAGCAAACTTCGCTGCTTGTAGCCTTGTTTTCCTTGTTATCTTATCCAAACGAAAAATTAAAGAAAAAAAGTGATTTTTAGGCTTTTTGCTTTGTTTCTTTTATACCAACCTTCTTCCTTTCTTAGTCGGGTTTGGACATAAATTAAAACCCACCGGTTCAGGCCCGATTAGCCTGAGCCCAGCCTATATATATATATATATATATATATTACTCGTTTCTTTTCTCAAGTCATATTTAGTATTTTTAGGGTTTTGAAGTCATTTAATATAAATAAATTATTTTATTTAGTAAAAGAAGATTTATATCACTAATGAGTAATGACTAAGGCCCTAATTGGGTCAGATTGGAATGACTATATCTGAATAAGATATGAAATCGGACCTGATCGAGTGCAACTTATTATGCCTAAAAGCTAAAATGAAGAAAAAAAAATAAAAGTTTTATAAATATTTACCTTTTAACTTATATAATAATTTTTTATGTATAAATATTCAATTTATTAATTATAAGATTTATATGTAAATATATTATTATTATTATTAGGATGGATTTTGAACGGATAAGATTGGGTCAACTCCATATCCGATCCGACTAATGCAAGTTCTAACATTCAAATCCAAGATAATCCGTATTGAAAATCAAACCGAGAATCTGGTTTTCGTTGACAGCCCAAAACCCCTAATGTGCATCGCGCAAAGTTAAACATCAGTACTTCCTTGAGTGGATGATGCAACACAAAATGGTAACTAACAGTGTAACAGAGGCATTAAAATATTACAGAATATAAACAAATACAAGAATCGATCAATCCTCCAACATTGTCATTTGTTCAGTTTTTATTTACAAGGTGTAGTGAACAACTAATTCTTTGACAGCTTGTTACAGGATCAATCCCAATCAGCATCGAAAAAACCAGCATCTTTCATCTCGGAATAGTAAGCATTTTCCAAATGTAAATCTTCCTCCTGCAATCATTAAAAATATACCAGAATACTGATTCAGCATTAATCATAATCTATATCCACCATCCAGTCTGTTCAGGAAAAATATGTGCCTTTTTTATATCAGAAATGAGATAAAGAGACATTACCTGGAAAAAGTCTGCTAGAAATGTTATATAGAGAAGAGGAAGATAGAAGGAATGATAACAAACAGTAGTAAAATTGTACAACCTGTATAAAATAAGTTGGAAGAATTTAGAATATATCAAAACAGAAATGCCTTAAACCAGCTATACAGTTCAATTTCTTTAGAGAAGGAATTGAACAAGACATACCAAAACCCAAAGCCAGCCCCATTTCCTACAATGGCACATGCAAACAATGCCAACGCATTCAACAGTAGCATCACAGAGATGTAATTGTAGAACGCAGGTCTTGCTGCAGAATGGAAAAAAAATTAGTTAATCCAAGCTAGACATTTCTATAGCATAATTTGACAGAAAACATAGCTCTTGGTAGAGCAAAATGGCAGGTCAGAATTCATGTAGCCAACCCCAAATAGTTAGGATTAAGGCCGAGTTGATTAAACTTGTATAGTTTACAAGATGATTATAGACAATGCTTCTTACCAGGCAGTCTCTCTCTCCATTTTGTGTGGTACATGAAAAATATAACGCCATAGACTGTGGTAAGCAATAACTTGTGGACAACCCATAAGCCCCACTTAACCTGATATTTTGTTTCATCATGGCCAATGAATAGGGGGATCCCAAAGCTGAATATATAAATTGTCTGAAAAAGAAGCAATACATCTGATTAATTTATAAGCCTTATAGATTGATATTTCAAATGATTACAAAACATGATGGTTAACACATCCACAAAAAAACTAATATGCTTCAAAGCCCTTGAACAAATTCAGATGGTGCACTTGTAGGGCTTCTACCCTTAAAAATATAAAGATGACATACTGCAGATACCCTCAACAAACCCCCACTAAGGTTCATTGAGTTGATATGCAAATTGGACCAGCAAGATCAAGAGGGAAAAAACAAGGAGAATAAGTTGTTGTAACATTACTCAAAGGTGCTGAGAAATCAAACTTACAGCAAGGAAAGACTGAAAGAGTACTGTGGCCTTTCTATTCAGTGCCATATCCATTGATAAACTATGGGCCCCTAAATCATTTCTTATTACTTCAAACCACATCCTTCTTGGCCTGCCCCTAGTTCTTCTAGCTCGTTCGACTTGTAGCAGAACAATTATGTTTATGTAATACATTATTATATGCTCTACTTTATTTCACAAATTTGTTTACCATCTGCTCTATTCACCTTTAGCAGTCAGCCCATGTCAGATCAAGACAGAATTGAAATCTTTTTTTTTTTTTTTGGAAAACAGACAGAATAGAAATCTTATGTTTAGGATCATTGTAGTCAAGGTGTCTAGGCATTTCTCCGTGATAATGGGGTGCCTAGCCACCTAGACAATAAAAATGTCATAAAATTAAAAAAAAAAAACTAAATTTTGCCTACTTCCTAGTTTTATATACTATTCAGCATGCATATTAATTAAAAATATACTGATTCTCTTTATTAAGAACATTACATTTCCTGTCAAAACATGGCAATAGGGCTGTTATAACAAGACCCAAACCGACCAACCCGATCCAATCCAATCCAAGTTGACCGGTTTTTCTTCAGCACCGGTCGGTTTCGGGTTACAAAAAAAACATAAATCAATGGTTCGGTTTGGTTTTCGGTTTTCATGTGTGAAAACTGAAACCAAACCGACCCGAACCAACTTAGATAATATATATATATATATATATATATATATATATATATATCAGATATACATTTGTGGAAATATATATATGTTTCAGCTTTATTTCAGAAAAAAATGTATTATATATAAAATTTCAACTTTAATCCATCAAATCATTTTTAATTTCCAGGCATCCAGCCTTCGCTCTTAGACTCGAATCCTTTACCGTTCACACCGAGAGAATCATTCACAATACCGACTCAAACCAACTCAAACCGACCAGGTTGGTTTTACTTAGTACAGGGTCGGTTTCGGTTTCATTTCTAGGTAAACTGACCAGGTCGGGTCGGTTGGAAAAACGCCAGTAAACCGACCCAACCCGACCCGTGAACAGCCCTACATGGCAAATCATCATATCTAGGACACTAGAAACTCAAATATATTAATTTCAATACTATTGAAAATAATAGTAACATAATAAGCATTTAATAGAGCAATTTGATATCAAATTAGCAACTAAAGAAGGCTATAATTTTATATGATAAAAATTATGGTAGAAAATAAAAGAGAAAAAAGAACAAAGGTGAAGCCATTGGTTTATTTAACGTGAGAGATAGAACAGCATATATATGATATATATAGTATATAACATATACCTATATCAATGATATTATAACAAGGCGCCCACCTTGTCATTTTTGTCACTTGGGGCGGGCACCTGATCACCTAGATGAGCACCTATTTGCTATAAGTCAAGGCGTTTAGGCAAGGCACCCCAGCCAAGAGTGCCTAGTTGCCTAGGCAACACCTTGACAACTATGATTAGGATAAATAGCAGAATTAGTTTCATAAATACCCAAAAGGTACTTTCATAAAACAGCAACTATCCTTTCGGAATTTGGAATAATACAAATATATGGATAGGTCAGAGAAGACACCCTTTGTTCTCTCGCTTCAGACTGACATTCTCATTGGGCTTACCACAGATGTGCTAGTAAACCTAGAAATGTTGAAATATTTGTTCCACTATTGTTCTCTCCGGGCGACAGTTTAACAGTTTGATTATCTGGGATGGGACAGGTTAGACAATTAACCAACAAATCAGACCTAAGCCCTTAGATTATCAATATTAGGTTAAACCTTTTAATACTGGGCACCAGCCAAGAGAGCCTAGTTTCCTAGGCAAGGCACCCAGCCAAAAGCACCTAGTTGCCAGGCAACGCCTTGACAGCTATGATCAGGATAAAAAGCAGAATTAGTTTCATGCATACCCAAAAGGTACTTTCATAAAATAGCAACTATCCTTCGGTAATTTGGAATGATACAATTATATAGGTCCAAGATGACACCCTTTGTTCTCTCTCTTCAGACATTGGCATCCTCATTGGGCTTTCCATAGATGTAACAGTAAACCTAGGAAAGTTGAAATATTTCTTCCACTATTGTTCTCTCAGGGTGACACTTTAACAGTTTGACCATCTGGGTTGGGACGGGTTAGACAAATAATCAACAAATAAGGTCTAAGCCCTTAGGTTATCAATATTAGGTTCTACCAAAAAAAGGGGTTTTCAATATTAGGTTAAACCTTAGGTTATCAACAAAAAGGGCAGTGGCTGTGGTCATTCTAACTAAAAGAGATATGGTTGGCTGAGGCAAGAAAGCAGAACTACCATTTGCCATCATAGTTTACATGTATTGTCAATCAAGAGATAGAAAGATAACATAGTAAGGGAAGAAGTTGCTGTTTATCCATATCCCTTCAGTTTGCCTTTTTTCTAATCTGCCATGGCATCACTTGGCTGTACAGGCATGCCACTTGCTAGGTTGCCATGAAATTCTCCATTTCCCCTCTCCCCTTTCATTACTTTTTAGATAACTGTCAAAGATTTATGCACCATGTATCTATTATGATATAAGATAGCTACTCCGTCGGGAAACAGAGCATCAAAGATCATCTTCAAGAGCAGATAACTAATTCATCCTTGTATTTACAGCCATCATCATTCAGACAACATGGTGGGAAAAGAGGAAAAAAGTAAAGTTAAATGGACCCAGACATCAAACTCCAACCAGAAGACATGCAACTCCAATAAAAATTCTTCCCCTCACCCCTCTCATTTCTGTTTGTTTCATTTTGATATTTTTAGAATTATATATTTTTTTTTGTGGTTTAAACACTCAACCAGTTTCGAACGGTTCAAATGGTTTGGCCAGCTGGTCTTGATTACATCAATGGGTTTTTTCCAGTTCATGGGTTTGGGATAAAACTGAAATGTTTTAACCTCTAGGTTATGGGTTGAAGGTTTGACCATCTGGGAGAGCAGCAGATTAAAAATACAGTTCCAGATTTGTTCATCATTCCTTTCTTTTGTTTGCTTGTTGATTTCATCTACAGGTGTGCTAGTACATCTAAACTAGTGCTCAAGAGTCGAAGGTTAGCTGCTGCATCAGTGGGCAAAACAAAAAGAACCAGGATTCATGACATGATACAGAATTACAGATTTTGCATGTTAAAGCAAGCCCAAAAGATTTGATGATTTAACATTTCACTCTTTCTTCATGTGGCAGTTCCATCCAATAGCCCTGGCTTAATTGCAATGAAATTCCTTTCCTGGGCACCTCTTTGATTTGAAACTTCAATGCTTGCCATAATTAAAGAAACAAGACTAACAGAGAATACAATAAAGAGCTAACATTGACCAGGGGAAATGTAGGTTAAAAACCACAATGCCTGGAAACAGTAAGCAAGAAGAAGATGGTAAAGACAGAGTGAAAATGTCAACTCAATAGAAATTCCTACTACAAAGTTTCTTGAATAATCTTGAGAACAGCAACACAAAAGGCAGGTTACAAATGGATCTCATACAGGACTAGAAAAACAGAATACCTAATTATAAAAGGAAACAGTAACTACAGCATACACTTTCCATAAAACAGGTTAAATTCAACTAAGATCAGGTTCAAAATGGATCTCAAATATAAACACACATCTCCATACGTGTCATTCTTAATTTATCCTAATTTATAATAATAAATAAATTATAAATACTGTATAGACTAGACCTAAATCCTATATAGAAAGTAAATTTTGATTTGATAGCAAACATAACAGGTGAAACAATTATTAAGGGCAAAAGCAAAGAATACCTTGAGAAGTATATCTGCACAAACAATGACTCCTGAAACAACAAAGGTGCGTGTTAAAGCCTCCAGCCCACTGGCATAGTTTCCTTGGAATAAAAAGGCCACCAAGCTAATTTCCAGAAACAGCATGCCAGATGTTGTAAACAATGACAAGAGGTTCCATGAGAAGTCCTTCCCAGGAGTACATTCCCATGTCTATGCCAGCAGCAGGAAGAGATTCAACACCGAAAGAACATTAATTAGTAAAACATAAAGAGAATTACTGATGTGTGCATGTGTGCATGTGTATGCATGTATACATAATCAGCATTCAAGTATAAGTTCTTATCCTATAAAAATTCTAAGCAAATAATGGTTCAACATATCCTCCAAATTATCATCGTCTTAATAGCATTGAAACAAAATTTTCTAAAGCTTTAACAACTCACAGTTCTAATTGGAGTTGGGTTCCTAGTTATATCTCCAGCTCAGGCATTATTATGACCGCCAAAAAATGTAAATAAAATCAATGTTCTGCTTTTCTTTTTGATCAAGTAATCATATTGGTCTCAGCTCTATATTTTCATATCAACTGCTAAATCAGAACATTGTGTGGAAGGGAATATGAAGTTCCATTGGGAATTTGTCACAAATGTCATGTTCTTTCGAAATGGGAAATAGGTGAGATTTTCAGAAGACAAGTGACATGGGGCGGGAACATTCTAGACTCTGTGAAATACTGTATAGATTTAATTCAAGTAGTATCGCCATAAATTAATGCTCTCAATTTGCAATAAAGAGGTGACTAGGGAGATTTTATGTTTCAACATTCATAGAACACTTCTGATCAAGCCAAATAGGAGAGGACCAAGAGGTAACATGACTTATCAGTAAAATCTTTTTATAAAAATATACTCATAGGAATACAGATGGTGTCCTCTAGAGTAGTGGGATTTGGAAGAATCTGAACATTTATCCTCATCCATCACATACAGAATTTTGACAATTGACCATTTGAAGAGTAAGAATTAACTTAGACAAAAGATGCAAGATATCTAATGTGTAGAAGAGTGGATCTCTGATTTGTCTCTGACTTGCAAGATTGCTATACACATGTTGGTTTTCCCTTTCACTTGGTTCAAACATGGTTGGTTCATCCAACAAACTTAGGGTCCACTGATTAAACAAAATTGATTCTTAGGATTTTTTATAGAAGTGGCCCTCATTTCAGGAAGGACAGAGTAAGGATCGTTTGAAACATTACTGATGAAGGAAGATTTGGCCCGACCTCGCAAATCACGGCACGTGGCAAAAAAGCAAGTAGCTCGGCACTTAAAACAGCGTACCGAGGGTACAAACGTCAAAGGGAAGAGACCAGCGGTCCGAACTCCCTAGCAAGGTGCCCGAACTCCCTACTTAGAGCTCGAACTCCCTGCAAGGAGCCCGAACTCCCTGCAAGGTGCCCAAACTCCCTACTTAGTGGTCGAACTCCTTGCAAGGTGCCCGAACTCCTTGCAAGGTGCCCGAACTCCCTGCAAGGTGCCCGAACTCCCTACTTGGTGCTCAAACTCCCTACGAGGAGCCCGAACTCTCCCTTTGGCCCCGTCACACAAAGCAGAGACCCGAACTGACCCGTCTTATGACAGTTCGGGGCCCCCCTTATCCGAACTCAAGACTTCGCCTCACGCACCGCTCCAGGTACTTCGCTTTCGGAGCATTGAACTGGACGAACCGCACCGTACCTGACACCGAAGGAGTCCGTATCCAGGGGCGGCGCACCCGACTGACTTGGGATCTGATGCTTGGCAGCCGCATTTCAAACGGTCACCTGCCACCATCACCTGTCACCGCTACCTCCAGTTACAGAGACGGCTCCGACAAAAGGAGCAGTGACGGTTCTGCCCCAGCARAGGYGATGAYRCCCGAACTGGCAGAAGCACGAAAATACTCATTCCCGACCTGACAGGAGTCTAGGAGTGAGTGCGCGAGGTGGTTATAAAAGGCTCTCCACCCCCAAAGAGGAGGTATGCAAACTTTGCGCCATCTGGTTTTACCTTGCCTTTGAAAGATTCTAACTTAAGCTTCAGAGCCTTTACACCGGGTTCCCCCCGGAGTTTCCTCATCTCCTCCGTTTCAGGTTCTCTGCTACTCGGTTCAAAGGCAAGGTCGTTGACAGCTAAGACCGGCCGGATTGCGCATCATCAATTACTGATAAAAAAAGGGCCATCTAAAACCGGGGCAGAGCCAGGAAACTTTTTATATGGGGGGCCAAAACCTAAATGAAGTATGGATGGACCCATGGGGGGGAACCATTGAGGTAGAGAGTGGGGGGAGGAGAAAATTTACATAGGAAATGGAGATTTTCTGAACCATAGGGGAGGGGGGAGCATGGCTCCCCTGGATCCCCACCTGGCTCCGCCCCTGATCTTAAACATCTTGCAGAATTTGGAATGAAAGAAACAAAAGAGCCTTTTTTATGGGAAGTCCAGGCCTATGTCAGAATTAAGCACAGACACATGCTCTATATTATGGGTTAACGCATAGGAGAACTAGAGTGGTTTACACATTTGGAGGAATATCTGTCCAGGGCTTTCAGGGCAATTAATAAATATTCCAATATCCAAGAAGACACAGTAATGTGACATCCCAATTCTCCAAAGGGGTTTATTGAATAGGGACTTAATGACTCTTCCTTCCTTCTGCGGGAGCTTGAAGAAATGCTTATCCGTCCAGAGAAAAGGTTGTATTTGATGGAAAGAAGAACCAAGACAGAAGTTCTTTGTTTAATTCTTTATGTTGTCTTTGGCTAGATTGGCAGCTAACTCAGTAAAGACCAGAAGAACATGAAGTAATTATTTCCCTGTCATGTGAATGAGTTTATTTGGTTGGTTGTTCTGGATGATCTTATAGGGAAGCTACATTCTATATCAGGGTATTATGTTCAAAATGAAGAAAAAACTCTGCATCTTCCTATGAAGAGATCCTGGACTAATGAGAGTTCTTCTGTTCCTTGCTTGAGAATTGATCTTAAACCCCTTGCTTGCGACCTTTCTATGGCCTAATTTCATAGAACTATGTTATTCCCATCCCCGTCAAAGAATTCTTCAAGTAAACTAATCTGTCTAGTTACATCAACATGCACTGCTTGGTTTTTTCTGCCACAGCAAATGTTGTGCAGATATTCAATGATTCAATCTCCACCCTTTATATTTCCAAATGAGCAAACTCAGATTCAGCATCGGTATAAAATCACGATTTTCTCATCGATCTGTAATTAGAAACTCAGCTGATAAACTTCTACCACATTTCAAAATTATCTGCACCCATTTAGTTTTATCCCACTTAGACCAAGAAATCTATAAGAAACCTAGAATTGCATTTCTAGTGAAGTCAGCAATTAAAACTAAACAATTAAGTGGAGCATTACCAACCTCTAACAAAAGCACGAAATGACATCAATTTAATATTAAGTTATCTTCACAAACGCGTAGGACAAATTTACGTGAGGTGATATAAAACCATCAAACTCGAATCAAATTCAATGGAATTGAAGCCAATGTTGCACAAACAAAATTTACTTAGAACATGATTACGAACCTGGAGACAGCACCATGCCAGATTGAGAACGCTAACGAGCCAAAGAAGTCCATAATAAGCTATCATGATATGAGATCGCCCATAAGAGAGCTTGGTGAGGCTCTTTCGAGCCTGCAACGCCAAGTACACAACAAAGAGAAACGAAGGAAGGATCAAAGCAACATTATACCAGAATCCATGGCAGTCAAAAAGCCAACCGGAGAACCTCGAACCATTATTCCCTACTTCCACGGGGGAGTTGGAAACAGGCGACAACGAGAGTGGAACCCCCGTAACTTCTTCGAGCGCTCTCATCTTCTTCTCCTACCAAGAATAAAGTGCATTACGGAAACACTAATCTGAAATCCCCGACCCGATGTTGCCCGATATTTAAATTTGGAGATTGGAATTGCGAAACCCTAGAAACCAGAGCTCGAGAAAAAAGCGGTAGCGAACGTCGAGACGTACGTAGAAAATAAAGATCGGTGAAACCTTACCCTGAAAGTCTGCTGAAACTCTAGTTCGGTGCCAGAATTCGCTTCTGCTCTCAATTAGATTGTAAAAAGCGGGACTGAGGAGTTTTGATCAATCGCGAAACAACTTGACTTTCGATCACCTTTACGCATTCTCTGTTCTTTTTTCGCCCTATTTTCTCTCAAATCAAGTAACACGCGTGGATTTTTGTTTTTTCTCCTTTTATTTCTTCCTTTTATTCCTTCACGGGGCTAGTGGGCTACATAACTGGTGGGTAGCCCGGTCCCCCACCCATAAGGCCCCCAACGAAGTTAACCTTTTTCAGCACGGCCCATGATCACCCCTACCCCCGGCCCCAACCCTGGGCCCTGGCGAGAGGAATCGGGTTTGCTCCGAGAAGCTCCTCTCGGAGCGTATTTCACACCGACCTCACAGCCCCATCCCACCAGGTATTGAGAATATCTCCTAATGAATAATAATATAAAATACGAGAGATATTTGTGATGTGCTGTTTGGACACGTTGTGAGGAACGGACTATGGCAAGAGCGGGATTTGATGCCAAATCTTTGCTACAACCAGCCAGAGAGTTAGAACTTACCAACCTGAGTTACTGAGCTTGTTGGCACCATCTACGTAATTCAGAAGTTGCACAGGCCAAACTAGGGCTACAAATTGGATCAGGTCGAGGTCAATCCTAATTTAACCCTAACTTCTAAATCCTTAATCCAATCCTAACTAAATTCCTTCAACCCAACCCAATCTAAAGTCAACTTCGGGTTGGGTTGGGGTCGGGTTCTTCCCATCTCTTATAATTTTGTAGAATTTCTTAATCTCATATCTTAACTCAATTTTCACTACATATATTAATTCTATGTTTTATTAGTATTTATTTGTTAATGTTTTTATTGGTTCTTTAAGTATAAAATTCAGGAAAAAAAATGTTTGAAATGACTATAATTTATTATGAGTTATGACTTAAAATATATCTTTTATGGGCAGCAATCTATGGGTGATAAAACAAGATAGAGGAGATGAAGAATAAAATATTCAAAAACATAAAATATGTTATTAAGGTTTTAGTATTTCTAATTAGGATTAAGTGAAGTGGTTATCTTAAAAGAAATAAACGATAATATGTGGTGGGGGATATACAATTATGCATATAAACAAATCAATATATCATATATCATATATATAATATATTTATATATGATATGTACTATATAGTCAAGTCTGGGTTGGGTTGGGTTGCCTGAGGGGTTAACCTTAACCAATCCGAAGTAAAGTCATTCATAAATTTCAACCACAATCCTAACCCAACCATCAACATGACCCAACCCAACCTAGCATTTTTGAGTTGGGTTCGGGTCAACTCAGCCCAAGTTGCAACCTTAGGCCAAACATAGGAGACCAGATCTGCTCCTCACACATAGCACCTCACTTGGACCTCATAGGCACATCCTACCATGCATTAGGAACATCTCTTGTGCTTTGTCTTATTATTTACCGGAGATGTTCCCAATGCACAGTGGGATATGCCTGTGAGGCGCCCTGTGTGAGGAGCAGATCCCACCTCCAAACAGAGTCCAAACATGGTCTCAGTAGGCCATTGTAGTGAAAGACCATTTGTTTCCAATGTATGGTTGGAATGGCTTGTTGGAATGGAGCACTAATCTAGGCACTTCAGCCTTCACTATCCTTTTTGTTTTACACAAAAGATACACAAGGGATGTTAATTAGGGGTGTCCACGGTTCGGTTAATCAAACCAAACGATAGGCATTTTTTCAAACCAGTCTTATCGGTTTTCCATTTCTCTGAACCAAAATCGATCCGGTATCATTGGTTGATTGGTCTTTGGTTTTCCATATTTATAATATATATATATATATATATATATGTGTGTGTGTGTGTGTGTGTGTGTAAAATTATATTGTAAATAATAAATGATATATACAATATATTTATAAATAGATAGCATATGTATATATTTATATATAATGCATATATATTTATATAATATATAGTTAATATGTGACATATATTACAAATATATATATTGGTAGGTCCAATTAACTATTGGTTTTTTTTATAGGTTAACAAAAAACTGAACCGACCCTTCGGCTTTTCAAAAATACCGAATCGACCGATTTGGTTTTTCGGTTCTTTATGGACCATAATGTTAATGGATCAAGTTATTTGGTAAACCCGAATTGGCCCAACCCCTAACAGGTTAGGATCATGTTAGCTCTATATTGTCAAAGTGTCAGTAGTCTCTCCTCCCATTGACTTTTTTTTATTAACAGGTGTTGTTTGGCAAGTCTTTTCCATCAGACCTGACAACCAAAAGACGATGTGAGTTTTTGCATTAAGATCTTAGCAGCTTGAATCCCGTTTGGTTAAGGCGTGCCTTTTTGCATGAAGTCGAGTTGAAAAAAAAAAGGCAAAAGGCTCCATTTGGAGCTTTTTGAAAATAGCCCAAAATGGGCTTCTTGTGTATTTTCAGGGCTACGGTTTTCGACTGTTAGATATTTTCCCATCTAAACAGGAAAAAACCAAAATGCGGGCTGCCAAGCTTCTAAAAAGTCAACAGCCTGCACAAATAATAACTTTCTGCAAAGTTTTCCAACCCTCATTGACATGTTAGGGTCTGTTTCGTTCACAATTTAAACCTGAATCTGAATGGCCTATTCCTATAATTTGTTTGATTCAGATAAGAATGAAAACGAAAATTGGACTCAATAGGAATGGGGTTTCATTTTCAATGGAGAAGATAGGGGGGAATCACCATCCCCCTTATATGGAGGAATGCCATTCCACCACGAATGATAATAGAATTCCAATTCTGCCCAAGCAAACAGTTGAAACCGATTCCAATTATAGATCCCAAATCCTACGAATCAAACAGGTCTTTAATTTTCACAAGCTCTTTTGTATTCTGGATGCATTGTAAGGTAAACTAACATGTCATTCATGGAGAGCCCTACTGACCAATGTTTTAAAAATCGCTTATATGATGAATATATTTAAGGTGCACCGTGCAATACTTGTTTATTAAATTGGGTATCATCTGAAAAGAAAAGAAAAGAAGCAATTTATATTAAGCTTTTATACATTGTTACATCTATACCATTTTGAGGGAATTGGAAATGCCTAAAGATCCCTCCTTACACACTTTATCATTTTCCTTCCTATTTACATATAACCTCGTGTTTATTAAATTGCCACTTATCACGAGGAAATATAGACCCAAATACCTAATTATAATTTGAAAGCATAATGTAGACTCAAACCTATATAACTGGATTGGTTCGGTTTGGATCTGTCGGGTTTGATGCGGTGACAGCCCTACAGCCCTGATAAACACGTTTGTTTTACAGAGCTTTTGTGTTTGGCATTACAGGTTGGAACGTTTTGCTTGTCATTGTCATTATAATTGAATTCAGATTATTTATATCGAATAGTTAATCGCATTTAAATTTGGACATGATTTGATTCAATTCGATAAATTTTGAATTCGACCGATTATTTAATTATTATATATAATATATAATTTTTTTATAATATATAATAATTAAATTATATAAATAATTTATATATTTATATACTTTATATCAATAAAAAAATATTTTATATATTTATTAATTATCTAAAATAATTAATTAATTGAATACAAATCGAATATTTGAATATTTAATCGGATTTGAATTTGGATATTACCTAATCTGATTCAAATTCGATCCGTTTACTCCCCTCCCCTACACAGCAGTGGTGTTGAATATATAGATTTTTGGGTAAATTACAAATACCCCCTATACTATGACCATGAGACAAAGACCCCCATTCTATTAGTCTTCCGCTGAAATCTGCCATTACAATAGCGGTGGTAGTTGTTGCAGCAGTGACAGACTTTCGAAGCAAGGTTCAAAGTATCGACACATATCGGCCCGTATTGGCCGATATGTATCATTCCGGGACCCCTCCGATACACCCCTACAGTGGGTGTATCGGAGGTCTGACCGGTTCAGGGGGTAGAGGAGACCTAAATCGGTCCCCTGAACCGGTTGCGAAATAAAATAAAATTAAAAAAAAAAAACGCAATAAAAATGTATCGGTTCCCCCAATATGCCCCTACCGACGTATCAGACGTATTATTTTGAACCTTGTTCCGAAGTCCTCCCTCTCTCTCCCCCCTGATCTCTCTTCTTCCCCTTTCCCTTTCTCTCTTCTCCTTTCTTCTTCCCGATTTCCTCTGTTTTCCGTTCCTTGCAGGTCTAGGTGAGGAAGAATCCTAATATCTTGATTCCACGGTGTCGCTAGTATGTAGAGAATCCTAGTATCTTTATGTTACAATTCTAAAGTTTATTTCAGTACAAAAACAACATCCGCGGTCAAGCAAATTCCCAACCATCAATATCGTCGATTTGAACGAAATTCGGAACAATACCAGCTCAACGAAGCAAGGCAACAACCATGGTACTAAATCTATCCAAATTTAGTGCCCCTTTGAATTAGTCCACCAGTAAAAATCAATGAAAACGTTAGATGTCAGAGCTTCCTTTCTGTTTGATCAGAGCAATCAGTGCACTAGCAACAATCAACAAAGCAGCTAAAGGCACACCCATTTATCAAATCGACAACTCAAAAAGAGTAAGAAACGAGGATCTAATTCCTACAAAACCTCAGAAATGGTGAGTCAAAAGCAGCTACACACCTTCCGTATTAGCATGGATCCTGGTCAACGGATGATACACCAGGATCAACCAGAGCATAACTGAAGTCACCATCTCTCGCTCCATGACTTTCATTTCTCTAGACCAAACTTTGGAACTCCTCATATACTTCATCAATCTTCCCAGATCCACCCAAATTCCAATGAAACACTGCATCAGAAAAAACCCTAATTTTCCAAACCCTAGCTCATCATGCTCAGACAAGAGAAGCCACCGAAACGTCCACCAATTTTTTTTCGAAGAACGAATCATCCAAATCAAAATCGATAGCCGATCTCATCAGAAAAACAAAACGGATTACAATAAACAGACGACCTACAGCCGATGGTGTTGGGACTTCGGAACAGAAAACAGAGGGAGAAAAAGGGGAAGAAAGGGGAAGGGGAAGAAGAGGGATCGGGGTGCTGTTGTTCGTGTATCGTGAGGTTAGGGAAGATGAAAGGTGTTTTTCTCCTAATTATTCTTACGGTAGTATGGGGAT